TTTTCCCCAGCTCAGAGCTAAATTTATTTCACTGTCAGCTAAAATTGTTGAAGGATGGCACTTATTAGTAACCTTAACACTAACAAACTGCCGTCGCGCTGTTAATTAAACGATGTCTGCCGCGGCTGCTCTGGATAATTGTGGTTTTCATTAACTACAGTTTCAAGAAAATTCTACCGCTTGACAAATATGTGTAAATCTTAAAATTGGGAATTTCAATTTAGCTATAAGAAAATTCAAAGACTAATTTACGGACTTAAGCCTTGAGCAACATTAATAAATATAGCTTCTACCTTAAAAACGCCCCAAGTGAGTTATTTATTTCTACACTCTAATGACATTTGTCTTCGAACACTGACTGAAATCAGCTTGCGATTTTCACTCTTTTCGCTCGGCTGTTTATGCTTCACCCCAGCTTCAAGCAACGGTAGAAAGACAACTATTTATTCCTGGGGGAGGCACAGTAGTGGGTCTGTAGCCAGAGGTGTTGATCATAATCAGTTGCATTTTAAGTTTTTATACACAAACCCATTAGATTACGAATCGAGAATAACCTCAAGTGGAGCCATTACGATACAATTCTAGGACTTCTTTTTCTTTTTAACGGCCGTTTCCCTCAGGCAGAGCTCATCTTTATAAACAAAATGAACTTCATTTTTCTCCTTTACTAGTACCATTTATAAAACCTGCTATCGAAGGTTTACTTTAAATAATTTAAATCGAGACCTTTTCTCCATGACAAGCCATATCTATTTTAAAACCGTGATCAAACAGAAATGTAGATAAAAATTCACCCAGTAAGCTACTTAACATACATTTTCATATCAGTAAAAAACACCTTAATGAAAGGGAAACTGACTATTTATCATGAAAACGCTCACCAGCCACAAAATATTTTAAACATTAGATCGTCCAGAGTGTAAAGATTATGCACGAGAATGAAAAGGTAATAACAAAAGTTCGCGTGATAACTGATGGCGCCAATTAGGAGGGTGAACAATGACACGCTGATATTCATTAGCATCAGACTTAAAAGAACCGAAGTTTGTGGAAAGATTTCAGCCGGACAAAGCAATTTCCCCAGCACAAAGGGTTAAACTTGATAAATAAACACTATCTACAAACTTTTTTTAATTGCCACGTTTTCAATTTGAAAAACAATACTTAAAACGCTGGTTCACGGAAAAACAAAGATTACAACTAACTTAGTTGCAATTTTATCTGCGGCTTAACCCACTAAATGTTTCATTTCCTGTGGAGCCGTGCGCCTGATGCGTGTGTGCTTGTGCGGGAAAAGCAGATTAACGATCAAGAGGAGGAAAATTAAGATGAGTTACTTTCATAACAGAGCCTTCCTGTCGCACTAGTATTGCATATCAGCAGGTGCATTCCACCAGCCTCTATTGTTTTCCGTCGCTTGCTTTTTTCGGCATTAAATTTTAAAAAAGACCCGTTATTAAGCTGCTCACAGGTTTTTGGTGTAGAATTCTGTCTGGATAACATCACGAGTGTATCCCTACTTAATCAAGGACGTCAGTGGCCAGTTTTGGAGAAAGAATTTGCCAAGTTTTGTATGAACCACACGGAATTGGGTGGGTGAGTGTGTTTTGTTTAAATATTATGTATAAGCATATTCTCTCAGTCGACACTACAGCTTTTCTTTGCATTCAATATGACTTTGCCTCGAGAAAGCATCTGGGAGAGAAAGGCCGTCTGGAAATGTAAGACAGTAAATTTTTCGGTATAAATAACTTGCGGCAACATAAGAAAAACTGTGGTCAAATCAAGTTAAATTCAATTCACGTGGTCGAGGTATGAATTCTGAATTACAAAAACATCCACAAGAAATACACAAAGACCGTTTTCAAGTGCTCACGAAACTCGCAAAGGGCCTCCTCGGAGTTTTAATTAGCGTATGCTACCTCGTTAGAACAGTGCAGAAAGCTTTGTTAATAAAGATAGATTTAAACTTAAGGTGGTTTTACGGCGATAGGCCACGAATTGAAAAGACATACAGCAGTGAACTCTTTACAACAATGGCTTTGTTCTCTTTTATGAATCACAAGTACAACAAGAGAACTTGTGCTAAAGAAGTTGTTGATAGCGTTGGATACGAAGTACTCAGATCGAGAGAGGAAGCTGGAATTGATGATCGCGTCCTTTGCGCCATTGGATGTATTCTCTTTTAAAAAAAAAAAAAGACAAAAAGAAAAAAAAAAACAGGCCTTTCACGCGTACCTCACATGATATCAATTTGAACACAATGTTTCTTTGAAGCTAAGTGAAATGATTCGTTTCCTCTCAAATCTCTGCCTCTAGCCCCTTTGTAGCTGGATCAACTCTCATATTCTCACGATGTGCACGCCTAAACTTCACTAGAGTTAATGACAGTGGAACAACACATATAATTAGTACATTTGGTGAGCACCATAGCTTAGTTAATAACTCTCACGATTCAAATTAACAACATTTAGGTTCAGAATGAGTATTCAAGGTTTAAGCCCAGTTGCAGGGTGAAAGCGCCCTCTTCGTAAACCAGAGTATTAACTGATAGATACTAGTTAATAGCCAGGAGAATCTTATGAATTGCTGGTGAGAGGGACTGGGAAGGCAAACAGGAGTAGACCGGCACCCCATTCCAGAAGAGAAGCAAAGCTAGCTGAGATTGTTTTATCCATTTGTTTCTTTAAATATAATTTGTTTATTGATATGTTTATTTTAGATGAGTTTGTCTGTTTCTCACCTTTCCCCTCATACTCAGGAAGGAAGTGGTGAAGCACTCACTAACAGTTTTCACTTGTTTCTTTAAACAAAAATAACAAGAGTTCAAGCACTGTATTTCGTGCTGTTCTGCTCCAGGGTTAAATGTAGAAACATCTAATGGAGTTAATCCAATGAAATGGCGTCAAATTGACGCTAGCCTTTTTCGTTATCGAGATTTTGAACAGTCCAGTAAGGTAACGGCTCCAGATATCTGCATTAATTACAACCTCGTCCTTCAACGTAATTACACGATTCAACCCGAACAAAGAACTGAGTATATCACGTAAGTACAGACTACAGTAATTATCACCTGAAAACCTCATTTCTGTTATCAAAACATGACTCTGCAATTTTCTTTCATCTAGTCCAATTTTCGTTATCTATTACAGGCAATTAGGGCTTGAAATAGGTCAGTTTTCTTCTTTTTTTTTTAAATCTCCTAATCCTGCAGAGGGAAATTCGCAAAAATAAATCTCAGGTTTCTTTTTTTTTTATTAAGTAAATCACTATTATGGGAAAATATAGGCTTTGGCACTCGAATGATCTCTAAAAAATTCGCAAAAACAGAAACTCCTTGCACTTTCCACGATGCGTGTCGAGTGTTTGGCATTTTCAACCTTCACCGGCTTCAACGATTATCATCCGGTTTAAGTCTACACTACATAATTGCCTAAAAGTCATTAGTGTTTTCTGCCCACGCATTGTGACGACTTGTTCGGGTGAATTATAATAAGTTTTTATTTGTGTTTTCTTTTCACTTGAAACCCAAAGCGCTCAGTTACCAGAAAACCTCTTCAACTGGCGACAGACCCAGGTAGTCCGTCTGACCCTGGTGAATACGAATCACTGCTCAAAAGTTTCTATTCCGTCCATTTTCAAAACAGACAAGAATAAACATCACAGAATCATTGTTTAACCACAAAGGATGCTATTTTTCCTCTTTGGACTGTTTCTTTGTTATTGGTAATCAGGAGGTGTTACACACCGAGAACTAAATGTCCCGAGTAATTAAAATCAGAATTCTACACGGCGGGTGGCGGATTATTCCCCAACTGATTTACCCGTTCCGGATGCAAAGTCTTTTTAACTATACGACGGCAATAGACTACAAGTAGTTTAATTTTTTTTTTCTTAATCTGTCTAACGATCCATTTGCGAACGAAAGAAGAAACCGGAGAAGCAAAACACCGATTTCCGCTCGCCTTCTTTATTCTTAAGTTATCCGCGGCCGGCCAAGAAAAGAACTAAGAAAAAGCGGTCGCTCGTAGTCTAATTAATCATCGGTATACAATATACAATATATGTAATCATAATCGGTGACTAGTATTTGTTACTCTTTCTCTAACAGCAGTACCGCGGTAATGTATTAAATGAAAAGGAACAATTCGGCGTTCGGTGTTGCTTTCATGTGCTATTGTTCCTTTAGGAATGCTTTTTTTTGTAGACGTCAGTATTTTCTTGTTGTGTAGCTAATTATCTTCCGGACCAATCAGGTCTTTCGGTTACCACTTTTTCATCAATTTTGCAATTATGAACTAAACGATCAAATACAAATCAGAAGGAAAAAACAAACCAGCACAGCCAGGTTGTTTTTGTTTTAATCTCATTTGAAGCATTTTTGGCTGTATGCTCTTTATCCTCTCCAATCCACACGTGTAAAAGAATATTTGTTCCTCCGTTTTAATTGTTTTCAAGGACTCCTGCACCCGACCCGCGCAAGTGTCATTTACTTTTCAAAATCACCACTCTCTCTTGTTTCAGGTTTTTTAGCTGCATATTTCGTATTTGAATGTTTATACTTCGGTTTAATTGTCTTTCGATTTCTCAGCTCCACGGGTTATAGCTGTGATTAGTGTTATATTACTTTTCAAAATCACCACTCAGGCAGGTGGTACATTATTACTCGCACGTAGCCACAAAACATACCACTTATCACACAGCCTTTACCCTTGTTCACCGCATTTTCTACATACACAAACGCTGTTTTATTACTGTTCGTTTTTCAAAAGGTTATCATTTGTTTTCCTGTGTATTAACTCATAATAGACAGATAAAAGGCTCCGATTGGTTAATAACTTGGTATTATGTCCTCGCGCGCACAAAGCTGGTTCTTTGCTAAGAACAGAAAATGACTTCAAATTGGGATAACTTGTAGACAGGCATTTCCTTGCCTGGTGAGAGGAATTGAAAGGTTAGCGTCCAGGATTTTACTCCTCGGCTCTGAGAAATCAAAGGGCGCTCAACTTGTGTAGGGAAAGTGGTGTTGACACTCAGGAATGTTCAGTAACGCTTCTGATTGGATTAGGCATTAATTACCGTCAGAATAGTGTCAATCAACTGCTAGAAAAGATTGTATTTGATTTTGCTTGTTGAAGAGCGCAGCAGTACACGTTTTGTTGGATTAGATACCATCGCGAGTTTCATGAACCGTTGATCCTCAATGTCACAACTGAGGAGAAATTTCAGCTCTTGATCAAAACTCAGACTGGTTCGCGAATAAGTTTGTGTGAAGGGGGTGTAGAAACGATGAAGAAGACGATAATGTATTCGGTGAGGGAAGATTTGAGCCCAAACGATTGCTTATTAGGCTGGTTATCAATCGAAATTGTTGATGTACACCATGTATGAAGGAACGAGTGTGGCATCAATACTGACCGAATTTCCTTATGACTTTCAGCAGACTATGGTAGCACATGAGGAGCAGAGAGCGAAAACCTGCAACAACTGCGGCGATATGTGTCCAGGGTTTTCCGCGCATTACTGGCGGTAAGTAGTAAATTGTTTCACTACACTGAGCAACAGGTTCCGAATTCAAGTGAATGAAGAACGGCTAGGAAACGCTTTGTTCTCAGCATGATTGCCGTCTGTATAACTCTCAAGTGGCACGCAAACCAAGCGCAGATTATTAAAGAGAATCGCATTTTTCTTTTCCTAAGGTGAAACAGAATTTTGCTTTAGGGACAATGTGCCTTGGAATTCTGTATATTAAGAATTGGGACGCCATCACAAAGTAACAGTGTGTGGTTTTGTCCGAAAGATTAGATTGGTATTTGAGATATCGTACGTCCATATAGTAAGGGTCAACATGAAAGATATAATTTACTGCAGTTCGGAGTTCCTCTTACGCTTCGGAATTCGTAGTTCTTCCGAAAGTGAAACAGATGACAGAGTGTGGATTTGGTGAAATCAACATTGACAACAGTTGACCTAATTTTACGGCCTCTTAGGCACTGATTGTTGTAATTGGCTTCGCGTAAAAATCTTCATGTCTTGTGTATACATTAGTTGTGTTTCTTTCAGTCGGCTTGTGTACGGAAGGCGCGGATTGATTTCAAAGTTTATAAGCACGCAAGAGGCTTTTCTTTTTAAGGCTGTCTGTCGCCCCTTGAAACCCTCTTGGTTGTTTGTTTAGTATCGTTTCATCCGCCACGGGTCGCAGTCGCATACCTCATTCGCCCGTTGCGTTCTTTTCAAAAGCTCCTACCATTAAAAACCCAAGGCTGAGCCGTATAATCGTTTCGAAATAAAAACTCTGTGGAATTCGGCAGAATTCTCGTCTTAATAACAGACAATTGTACAGCTTCGTGGAAAAGGGTTGACCCATTTTCCGAATTTTCAAGTACTACAATCTCGGAAGGATATTTAGTGGTGAACCGAGCTGTCAAATGCAGATAAGACGGGTGGGAACTCCAAGTATTTTCGTCCGTTTCGACGTCTGATACATCATGTCTGATGCATAGCTTTGAAAATTAAAGCTTAACGCATCACGCAGCGAGATTTAAATGTAAAGACGAGATTTTCTTTGTCACTCTGGAGTGAGACACTTGGATTATAAACGCGAGCGAATTATTCTCTTAATAAGCGTTGAGTTCGTTTAGTACTTCCTTGCCCGGAAACTGTTGGGCGCGCGTTGAAATTGAGAAATACCAGCTATCCGCGCAATGTCCTACACTGTATATCGCCATGGTCGGTCTTTCCTCTGAAAATACCGCTGTTATTATCAGTGTCTTACGACATGTGTGCATGGTATCCCAAACACGAGAGCAGAAAAGTTTCAGTCGCGGCGCACTTCGCATTGCCTTTTTGGAAAACGAATCAGAGAGTCGCCGCTTCCTACGGGCACATAAAATTTCATCCTCTGTCTCTTTCGACCGACATTTTTATTACACAAAAATGTCGCTCACACACATGGCTGTAAGCTGTTCGAGAGATTTGATTCCTTATCTACACTCGGTTTTCCAACGGAAGATAGTATTTTGGTAAATCTGTTTATTCTCGGATCTTAACTTGAAGGAATATGTCGGATAAGGATAACTTTGGGTATCATTTTCCATGCGGGAATTGTATCACGAACTACTTGATTGACCTGCCAAAAAGAGGTGGCAAATTCTCTCGATTCTAAAAATTACCTTCTTCGAATATTTTTGTGAAAAAATTACCGCTAGAAAAATCTGCGACCAGTTTTTATGGTTCAATGTTGGGGTTTTTTTTTTCGAACGTGGAAACTTTGCCTTAAATTTTGCTTTTGTTAGTGACAGTACAATCGAATTATTTCTTCGATACACCAAATTAAAAAGCACTGTTTAAAATGTAATTAGTATGTTTAAAACCCTGACATTTTCATTCAAATCCAAAACTAAGTTAGGTGACAATATTGCATTTCGTAAAAAATCAGAAGGACTTTTGGCACATATTATTCAGTTGAATTAAAATTTACATTTGCGCGTCCACATTTCCGGACTTGCTTTTACGAAAATAAGAAAACACCGTAGAATTTGCGCGTAGCAGATCAGATTAAATAATTCTCTGGTAAACGGCTTTGTACCGTATTTTCTCGAACAAACCCCGTGTAAATCTTGGATAAGAAGAGCTGTCGACATGACAAAGTTAGTCTAAATTATCTCATTGTTATTGGTATTTATGTCATTGGTTTTGAGTCTCGATATGTCAAAGGAAAGGCCATGTAAAGAATTCAGTACTCTAAATTATTAGTATCTTTTTTAATTTTGAGGACAAACGCAAACGAAAATTTCTTATCTTTCATTATTTCCCAAGGTGTGTGGTCTTCTTTGAAGCAAAGTGTAGAAATACGAAAAGCTGCGGCAATAATCTTATAACGTGTTGGACATTCAATTAAGTTTCCAAATCGGGTTTGTGTTTTCACGGAGAGATTATTTAAAATCGGCTTTTCTTTGAGTTACAGATCGAACGAAAATGTTTATTTTTACATAGCTTATTCAAAGTGAAAGCAAAATATTGACAAGCTTAGAGTTCCTAAAGGTGGAGAGCTGAATAAATGGGAGTTTATTTGGTTTTGTCTTGAGATAATGTGCGAGACAGCTGTTAAATTTCCATGATCTTAAAATCATTTATTTTTAAAATTCAATGACCGTGTCGGATTGTTTCGAAGAACAGAGCCATATTTTATTCTTTTTGTTTCTATTAAGTCTTTGTGGTAATTTTTGGCTGATAATTTATTTCGTCTCGTGTAACAAAACCTCTGTTTTATAGATTGGCTTTGAATATTTAGTCATGTCGAGAGGAACAGGCACAAAAAACGTGACCACAGTTTTCACCAGTACCGATACTAATGCCAGAATACATACAAAGTTGTTTCACATTACTTTTGGCACCTTTGAAAGGATAGATCATATAAACTTTCCAATAAACACTTTATCCAAAAAAAAGGCCTTTTTTTTCTTTTTTGTATGTGGTAGTAAACCATGCGTTGTGTACTAAATGCAAGTAACTGAAGCAACTTTCAATTCTCTAATTTTTTTTTAATGTGAAAAAATTAGCATAAGCAACCAAAACTTAAGACAGGAGAGCACAGTATCACTTGAACTAAATACCTTTTTAAAATTGTGTTGCTTTTAACAGAATGAGTATTAGCATTCATGGCTTTTTAAGCACAGGTAATTTCTTACAATCTCTATGCTTTGAGAGGGTGCTAAAAATTAACTGTTGCACAGCTAAATAATCACAAAGCGACTGATCAAATGGGAATAACAAAGGAGTTGTATGGGTGTGTGAAATAACACCTATGAACCATTATTGTAATGCTACACAATTGAATCTTGTAACCTCAAACTAGCCTTTGGTTTACCAAAGGTGGTGGTGTAGGGAGGTGAAGATTTTGTATGCTGCATGTTGCTGTATTTTGTGGCAAATACATTTGAGGCTGTTGCTGGGCATGCCCAAGCTTGCTGATTTTAACCATTCAGTACATTTCCAATTTTAAAGCTAATCAGTTAAACAGATGTTCTTCATAGAAGGTTATTTCTAGCACAAAGCCTTTTGAAAATCAATCCAAAAAAAGAAAGAACATTGTAGAATAATTATTTCTCAAGAACACTTGAGTATATTTTTCCCTTCCACCTTGAATACTTATTTAGTACAATTTCCAGATGAGCACAAATGTGAGAATGTGACCGTCTGGATTTCATCTCCTTTCCAGTGAATGTATTTTTGACACCGTGAATAATCAATTACTTGACACTTAGCAGACATGTTTCATTTGACCTCATCTACTTTAACCTGTCTTCTGCCCTTTATTCTTTTTTTTCAAAGGTGAGGTAACTTGTTGAAAGAGAAATTTTCATAAATGGCTTCATTGTGTCTGCACCACATTGTAGATACATAAGACTCCCACTTTTTATTTCACAAGTAACATTATTTCATTTCTCGCCTGTATAATCCACACTACTTGAAACAAAGTAAGAATTTTTTTTAGTGGCTTTTTGATTCAACTTTAATATTTAATTTTGATATTTTGTTGGAATTTTTCACATTTTCATGTTTTGAATTGAGAATCCAATCAGGCCACAGAAACTTAAAAGTAAAATAATTTTGTATCATTTTAACATGTTTCCAGTCTTGTACTTAACTGATATGTTATGATAAACTGCAGGAAAATTTGTCAGCACTGCAAGTGTCCTAGGGAAGATCACAACATCATTGAGGATGATGCTCGCACAGGATGTAACGTATACTTAGGAGAGGCTAACCATTCTGGCCTTCCAAGTGATGATGATAGTGGTTGTGCATTAGATGAATATGCATGGGTTCCACCAGGGCTAAACCCTGAGCAGGCAAGTGGAGTTAATCTTGAAAGGTTGTCTTATCTACATGTCCTATTTTTGATAAGAAGAATATCATTATCTGGTATTCTTGTAGGAATTGTTGTTATCAATGTGGTTCTCATGTTACAAATGAGATTAGGAGTATTTATGAAACAAGATTTTGGAAGACTATCATTATTTTTAAATTTTTTACCTCCAATTTGAAAACTATAAATAATCCACTTTTATTTGTCCCGTGAGAAAAGCTTTGCAAGTTGGTTTCCTCACATGATCATCATCACCGTTCACTTTATAAATTTTAAGTTATAGTTTCTTGAAAATTTTCAGCTGTGAATTTGGGTTTAATGAGAAGAAAACATAGTTTGTATGAGCCAGATATTTTGTATCACTGGCCTTTATATTTTAAGAGATTGGTGCCCAATTTACACTGCAGTGAAATATGTATAATCATATGATTCCAGATAAACTGAATTTATTGTCACACTTTTAGGTTCATGCCTATATGAGTTCACTTCCAGAAGAAAAGGTTCCATACATTGACAGCATTGGAGAAAGACACCGTAACAAACAGATCATAGTGCAGCTGCCTCCATATGACAGCGAGGCAAGATATTGTAATGGCCTTACAGATGAAGAAAAAAGGGAATTACGAATCTTTGTGGCATTAAGGAAAAGAGATGCTATTGATCGTGGGGTTGTGAAACAAATCCCTGATGTCTCAGAAGGCTACAGCTGTAGAGAGGTAAGAAATTATTTTGGTTCCATAAGGGCTTTTGTTGTGAGTGATTTTCAGAAATTACATGTATCAGAACTGGCCAAAGTTGACAATGGAATTTTAATTTTGTTTACATGTGAGTGGCATGTATACCTGCCTATGCATACATGTATGGTACCTTCTGCACAAATCCCCACTTGGGTGGAATGCTTGTCCATCACAGGGTACTCCCCAAGAATTTTGTCCAGTTCCCCGAAAAACTCCATCTATTCAGCAGGGTGACAAAATTTTTTTCCAGAAATGAAAGGTGAAGTCACTGTTTCTTTTTTCCTTATTGCAGTGTGGTGATCGTGTGGGCCCTGGATCCATGGCAGTGTTTGCACCAAGAGCTGGGCAGAATACAAGTTGGCATGCTTCCTGTTTTGTTTGCTACATTTGTAAAGAGCTCTTAGTGGATTTGATCTACTGCTACAAGGATGGGCGGATTTTCTGTGGAAGGCACCATGCAGAGACTCTGAGGCCAAGATGTGCAGCATGTGATGAGGTAAATAAATTTTGTGAAATTATGTAAAGAAAAAGTTAAATGTACTACATTTCTTATATCCAACAAAAAAATTGCAACTGGAAGGCACCATGCAGAGACATTAGGGCCAAGGATGTGTTGCATGTAATGGGGTAATTCAATTTTGTGAAATTATATCAAATTAAGAGTGAGATTCAAGAAAATTTTTATATATCCAAGACTAGAGGATCCCTAGGGAGTAGGTACTACTTCCTAATTGTTAAATGACAGCAAAAATACTCAGTACACCCTCATGGCTCATTATTCACACCTACAGACATCACTCCCCTGTCATAAGATGATGTGTTTACTTTGTTTGATTTTTCTTTATTTTGCTAGATTATTTTTGCTGAGCAGTGCACAGAAGCTGAGGACCGATGTTGGCATGTAAGCCATTTTTGTTGCTTTGAATGTGACTGTCCACTTGGAGGCATGCGGTACATAATGAAGGAAGGAAACCCATTCTGCTGTCATTGTTTCAAATCAATGAATGCTGAATTTTGTGATGCCTGCGGGGAACCAATTGACCCAGATGCAAGTCAAATGATGCACAATGGACAACACTGGCATGCAACAGACAATTGCTACTGTTGTTACAACTGCCGTAAGCCTCTCCTTGGACAACCTTTTCTTCCCAAGAATGGAGAAATATATTGCTCACCAGAATGCAGTCGCCGCATTTCAGCAGATTTCCAAAGTCGTGAAAAATTTCCTGACTTTCGACCAGGTTTTGATACAAAACGTTACAATGCTCAGGAATTATGCACATCTGACCTTGGGACACTTGAGTCAGACTATGTGACTTCAAGCAATCACTCAGCATCTGGGGTGTTGAGTGCTCCTTATGAACCAAGTGTTGATGGGGACAGTATTGGCCACTACTCAGGGATTTTGTCTCAACACAGAGTGGGAACATTTGATAGACAGCATCAACATGATGAGCCTGTAAGAATTGGAGGATTGTCTGGCAGGGTGTTTGGCCATATTGAAACTGCAGGTTATTCGACTGATGTCTTTGACAGTGTGAGTGTCCAAGGAGGAAGCTATGGGGGTTTTAGTTTTGACAATGACAGATACCACAGAAGGCAAAATTTCCAGCCACTGTCAAATGCTAGGCAAGCAGTTGATACCTTTGACAGAGGTTACCGAGTTCAATTATTTGACAAGGGAAGTACCTCTGACTTTATAAGAGCCACGCCCGTGGATGTTGAATCTACCAAAGATAGCAATTATGGGACTATTGAGAGCAGAGACAGTAATTGTGGAACAAAGGTTTTGTTGGACAGTCGAGATATAAACAAGGCTCATAAGCATGTCAAAGTAAAGGAGAGACATACCTCTGGATATGCCTCTGACTCAAGAACATCCAGAAATTCTAGTAAACACACTTCTGGATATGCCTCGGACTCAAGAACATCTAGAAATTCTGGTTATAGATCAAAGGCGAGACAGTTGAAGTACTATGATATAGATATTGAGGAAAATAGTAAGAAGTATTACTTCAGTGAAGGCGAAAATGCACGGCCATTGTCAAGATCTTTGGAAAGTTTGACATGGAAGCCAAGTTCTATACCAGCCCCGCCCCCACGGCGCAATCACATCAGAACTTCTTCTGGTACATACATGTCAGCGAGGAAAGAACACATGATCAATAGAAATGGCTCTACTCCAAAGGAGTACAAGTCACGAGGAAACAATCCTAGCCCAAGTAAATCATCTCAGTTACCTTGGGAAGATCCATTTGCTAATCCAGTGGATAAAAGCAAATCAAAGCCTAATAGGCGTCCAAGAATTACCTACACTGAAGATGGTTTCCTTGAAAAAGCCTCACCTCAGGTTGTCAAAACAGCTGACGCAGGAAAGAAAAACAAAAACAAACATAAAAACTGCTTGGTGCAGTGATTTAATTATTGATACTTCAAGATGGCATAGTGTGCAGTACTGAAGCTGATGAAATGAAGCTTGTCTTGACACAGAATCATTGTTGCTTACATGTAGTTGGCTTTTCTAGAGATGCTAAGGCAGCATGCAAATGTATATTAAATTAATTATATGCTAGATTCAGTACTTTTGTTCTTCAAAAAGATTTATTGCAGTAGTAATGCAGATTGTTTCAACTTTTGTTATTGTTGGAATCAAACAGATAGGCATGTTAACTGCAACCTTATTTTCGTGTTGTTTATATCACAGTTATTTACAGATCATCTATGTCTTATCATTCAGCCTCAGAAAAAAGTTTCTGGTGACTATTTAGTGTCGTATACTTCCTCAGAAAGCCATATTGTCAAAGTAAGTACATGAACAGGTTGTTATTAGTAGATATGAGGGGAAAAAAAGGCACAAGGGTTAACATCTGTGTTGGTTTAATTGAAAAACAAAAGGAACAAGAGAAAAACTATTAGAAAGGATAAATTGAAGTAATCCAGTAAGATATGAGATTTTGCTGAGAGGAGCATCTCTTGAATTTGATGCGATCATTAACCTAGTGATAAGCCTGCATTACAAATAGAATTGGAGCTAAAATGCTATTCCTTACCCTGAAATTTTCTTTGGCTCTGATTACACGAGTTTGCTCTTCCCAGTCCTGGTGGTTCCTCTTTTTTCATTCTGTTTCGTATTTAGGTTTGTTGGGTTTTGTTTTTCCTTTTGCAGAGCAATCTGATTCCAGT